AGCAAGAGCACAGTGCAAATGAGGCCTCTAGTAAAGGTCTAGACCCGAGCATGACTAAATTAATCCATGTAAACAAGTCAGAACCGCTCAGGGCGTGCATTTAAGACAAGTGGGAAGTCCGCCCATGTGCAATCACCTCCACCCAGTGTACCACAATTAGCAACCCGCTAACCCATTTCTCATTTGAGCTAGCGACAATCCCTCACTTGATGGACTGAAAAGAAAAGCCACAGATTTGGACCCAACGACTGTCCTGTGCAGCAGCAGCAGCAGCAGCCTGTGGTTTGAGGCAATGGACCAGAAACATAACTAGCTAGCAGTGGTTCGCTTGTTGTAATGTCATAGGGTATAGTCTGGCAAACCTATCAAAAACCATTTCTTCTAAATCTTAATGGAATGTTTATTAAAAAGTAAAGTGGTATTCAAACGGTTTGTCAGTCAGGCAGTCAGTTTGTGGTTTGCATTGTTGACACAAGGGAGTCTATATTCACCACTAGCAGAAACCAATATTTATAATGCACTCCCAGCAAAACAGCATGATAGAACATAGTGATGAATATATAAATGTTACGTGCAACAAACCAGCATATGATTTGAATATAACAACCATTAAACTCTACTACATTTCAGTAATCTTCTTGAAGTATAGCTTCTACTTTAGATAATTTCAAAAACACAACTTCTTAGCCAACATCAAGCAGCCCACAGGCTTTGCTTTTATGGAGAGCATGGGAAACCAAGCGAAACCCAGATAAAGCATGTGGTTAGGGGAGGACAGATGTTGGCTGAATATTGAGTGAACTTAGAAACCCTAAGTTGGAAATCCACGGGCAAAGTCCTGTGGTACTTTCCTTCTTGAAGGCAAGTCCAAATTAAAAGCTTTCTAATGTGCACAACGTACATAAAGTACTGACCTTTAAAGTAAAGATCTTTGAACATCAAACTACCACAAGTTTCAGTTATGACACCAGGCATCTGTTTTCATAATAAAATTGCATTTGACAATAAAACTGCAACTCGATAATAAAACATAGGATGATTTCTGCAAACATTTGGACATTTTAAATCATGCTGGGTGACATATGAAAATATGTTGTGTTGTTGGTGCGGTATGCTGCTTATTTGTAGTGCTTACTAAGGCAATCATCTCATCATACTTAGTGTTAGGGATTTGTACAAACCCAAAGTCTAGTCCTCTTGGAGGAGCTCACCTTCCAACATAGTTTAGCTCCAGTCCCAATGAAACACACATGAATGAGCTACTGTCCGAAATTGCATATTCTCTGAGTAGGATTTGATGAAAAACTTACTTTGCAACCATTAAAAAATTCATTCTACATAATATGTGTGTCTAATATGAATGTAATCTGGACATATAACATCTGCAATGTTGGGTTTGTCATGTGACCTACAGCATTAGTTGCATCCCTTATGCCATTTGAAACTTCTCTCACATGGCCTCATGGGATTTTAAGTCTAATGGATGTGTACTTTAGAATCCTGGCTGAAGTCATTCGGGTTCTTTTCCTGCATTTTTGAATACTTTGTATTTGAACATGCTACTCTTTTGGCATATTATTTTTGTATAATATTTAGTATGGGAGTAAGTATTTTGCTACCCAGACTCATTAGAAATACATGCCTCTACCTATATTTCTGCTAAACTAAAAAAAGGTACCTATTTGTATGAGTTGCAGTAATAAAGTAATAAATTCCTTTATTACTTTTCACACAAATTGTGATTTACAGGGCCAGAGTTTTGATTAAGAAAGCCAAATTTTTGCACAGTTCCTTGCACAATATTATGTTATGATTTAAAACATTTTTTTACATGGTGCGAGATTTGAAAACTGGACTTTTGAATGTTTGGGTGCTTTCACACTTTGTTCGATTGCTTGGTCCGAACCCGAGTTCGATTGCTCCCCCCTCCCCCTGACCCCGCTGGACTGTCTTCACATTATATTATTTGGGTCCGAACCGCCGGACTCAGGTACGGTTCGCGGGTGCGCACCTGAGTTCGGAGGACTGCGTTCACATCATCCAAACGTACCGAACTCTGACGTCAATCGAACCCGGGTGCGCACCAAAAGTGCTAGTGTGAAAGCACCCTTAGCGTCACATATACAGCTTTATATGTATGGGTTTTCTAACACAGTAGGTTTGCTCGGGTGATACAGCGTTGCACTTGTGAGGTGAAGCGCTCCGGTACGCACCCTGTGATACTACAGTTCGACAACACAGCTCAATCCTGCGAATAAGGAAGATAAAATAGCATGACTGCATCAGCGAATGCATTTCTATATCACTTTTGCTTTTGTTAACACTATCGGGTAGGTTTAGGGTTGAGTTTGATGTAGGTGGTTTGTTATTTTCCAACATGCGAGCATTAACCTTTTAGCGATACTCGCCAGACATTTAAATTCTGAACCGTGGCAATACGTACCTGAACCAACATAATAAAATGTGTCCACTTTAAAGTTATGATTGCACATTTTAGCACCACTCACTGGACATTTTACTTTGAAATTGCTGTGAAATGTGCAATGAGGCATGTAATATCAGTGTTGCAGAAACACTGCCACAAGCACGTATTTCCAGTGAGCCTGGGTTGGCATATAAACTTCTAGACTGGTGTTGGAGCTAAACTCAGGAAGGTGGTCCACCAGGAGCAGGATTGGATACTCCTGCTCTAATCCTAACCATTAACATTAAGTGCATGATTAGTGAATAATCATAGAGTTGCTCTATTTCTTCATGACTGGATGATTGGCATTATGGTGAAAAAAGGAAACAGGCTGAAAAACATCAGGCTTCAACTGAAGCAGCCAAACATCATAGAGATTGGATTCTTTTGCCATGCAACAACTTTTCAATCACAAAGAACACCCTGGAAACTATCTAGAACCTACCATTATTAACTACCTAAAAGTCCCCATAGCAACATGCTAGAAACCTCCCAGAACACATTAGCACTCTCATAACAATGCCTTGGCAATCACCCACAATATTCTAGTACTGTGTTGTGACTTCCGCACTGGCAACCACCACTCGTTGCATCTTACATCTATTCCAAATCTCAACTGCTCAAAGCACAATGGGTCAAAGATGGCAGATTATATCCATTTGACTCCGAGTTAAATTGTTAAACTACCATTTAATATCAATAGTACTGTGTGGGACTATAACAGCTTTTCAATGATTTACCGTCAATCAGACAGCACAGAAAAAGATTCACCACCTCATTAATGTCACTCTTTTTCCCTATTATTAATAAAGGGGAATCCCACATGCTGTTTCAGCCTGTACTGGTCAAATATCAGTCAGAGAGTTTCTGTAACTGATATATGAAATGTTTTGTCTGACTGACTGTTTGGGAATAGATTTCTAGAAGAGAATTACTTGGTGTAACTTGATGCAAAACAAATAGTATTTTATCTTAAGTTGGTTCAAGGCATGACTCAAACAAACGGCACACCAAACACCAGGTTTGTAAGTCTTTGCCATGTGTGCTCAAGCGTTCAAATGCATTTGCATTTGCACCATGTGGCTGATATCGTAATAATGGTATAAAATTGATTCACAACACCATTACTACTATGTAAATTTATTAAATACCAAGAACAGAGGTCAAGAAAATGTTGTGTATTATGTTCACAACTATCAGATGTGATAAAAGTGTTGAATTCTTGCTAAAATGCGGGAAAATTGTAACGTAATTACTTTAATTTGAGCTATTGGTGGCTAAACAGCCGCTCTGGCAAATTAATTTTCAATGACAAAGCAATCAAGCAGACACTATTTAGATTAACTGTAGCATTAGCCTGCTACAGTTCTAGCTGCCAAGAATCAATTTTCATTGTTAGACTTCAAAGACCTTTAATTAATGGTGTTTCTTAAGGCAAGCATCACTATATTGCCCATAAAGGTTAGTGATTTGAAGGAAGAGATGTGTACTATTACTTTTCTAAGACATAGGATTAACAATTTATTGCCTGTTAAATGATAAAAATGAAAAATACACAGACTGATTTGAGCCAGATCTAGAGAGAATTTCAATAAAATCCTCTTGAAGACCACAGCAACTACTCAGAACACCCTAGCAACCAAGTAAAAGCCCCCTGGCAATCAACCAGGGGTGCATTTCCCAAAAGCATTGTTAGCTAACTATGGTTGCAAGTTCTGTTAAACTCTTTTGGTAATGACAGAACTTTTGGGAAGCACACCCCAGAACGGCCTTGCATTGTGGCGGCAAGTTTTGCATGGACATGCACCTCTCACATTATCTTCAAAACGGAATCGGATAACTGTATATTAGGGCAGTTCCTAATGTACATCAACACATGCTGGTCCCTACAGCCTACAGCAATGTGTATTCTACAGAATAACAAAGATGTAAGCAATGCAGCCAAAATAGCTTTCCATCTGTTGCTCACGGCTGGTCTATGCAGAGGGGTTGACCTGGAGCCAAATTTATTCTTTTTTAATCACATTTCGGTAACACTTTATTTTAAGGTACAACTGTCACTATTAACCAGTTGCTTATTAGCATGCATATTACCAGCATATTGGCCGTTTATTAGTATCTATAAAGCACATATTCATCCCTCATTCTGCATGATCATATTTTAGATCCCTTAATCCGACCTCATACCTAAACTTAACAACTACCTTACTAACTATTAATAAGCAGCAAATCAGAAGTTTGTTGAGGGAGAACTCTTAGTTAATAGTAAATATGTGTTCCCTAATCTAAAGTGTTCCCCACATTTCAAATTCTTGCCCTCTGATTGATATAGAGTGATGAGAACACACCAAACGACATCAAAACTATCAGGTCTACAAGCTTCTATAAAATGCATTCATTTGGGACTGATTTCAAGCAAACTAGTTTTTTATTCCTGAAATGCTTTTCTAGCTTAGAGACACATGAGCATATCAACAATCAATGTTAGTATCAAAGAAAAAGGATTTGTGTAAGAACAAAGCAACACTGGACTCACCGCCAGGGCTTGGAGCCTTTCCTTATGAAGTTCAGCTTCAGCCATCCTGGAAAAACAAAGGCAGAATTCTCAGTAACCGTGAGATTGGTAATCCCAAGTGTGTTTGTGTGTGTTGGGCGGTAGGTGAGCAAGTCAACAGACACGCACACACAAATACAGTCTGCCCTGGTCCTCTGAAGTAAGCCAGCCAGTGAAAGACAGTGTACTGAGGGCAAGATCTTCTCATTCACTGGCCATGTGTCTGCCAGACTCTCTCTCTCTCCCTCTCTCTCTGTCGCTCTCTCTCCTCTTACATCCCTCCCTCTCCGTCACAGGCCGGGTTATGGACAGATGACAGAGTCTTGAACCCGCCCTCTGTGTTTGGAAGAGAGCTACAGGCGAGCAGGCAGAGAGACGTCACTGAGGATAGGACAGCACTGTCACACCTAACCGTGACTCTGTGTTTGTGTGTGTGTGAGTGAGTGTGTGTGTGCCTGCTGGGTTGGAAAACAAAGGTGTGCCGTACACTAGGGATTTAAGCGGCTGCAAGCTTAGAGGAAATCTGCTCCATGGTTGCAAATCAAAATCATACATCTGCCAATTCTTTCCTATTGTTTAATAATATCTGATGAGTTAGGAATTGCCCAGCCATAAAATAATTGCTCAGCCTTATCTATCTATCTATCTATCTATCTATCTATCTATCTATCTCTATAGTCTGTCTTTCTGTCTGTCTGTCTATCTATCTATCTATCTCTATAGTCTGTCTTTCTGTCTGTCTGTCTATCTATCTATCTATCTCTATAGTCTGTCTTTCTGTCTGTCTGTCTATCTATCTATCTATCTATCTATCTATCTATCTATCTATATCTGTCTGTCTGTCTGTTTTCTATCCATCCGTCCATCCATCCATCCATCTATAGTCTGTCTGTCTATCTATCTATCTATCTCTATAGTCTGTCTTTCTGTCTGTCTGTCTATCTATATATCTATATTGTCTCTCTGTCTGTCTGTCTGTCTATCCATCCGTCATCCATCCATCCATCCATCCATCCATCCATCCATCCATCTATAGTCTGTCTGTCTGTCTGTCTGTCTGTCTGTCTGTCTGTCTGTCTGTCTATCTATCTATCTATCTATCTATCTTTATAGTCTTTCTGTCTTTCTGTCTATCTATCTATTTATCTTTAAAATCCATCTTTAAAATTATTCATATAACCTCGATCTTCAGAACATGACAAAATCTGAGCATAAAAACATCTGCAGAACTTGCTGACTCTAAACATGTCTACTGTCTCTGCGAATGTGGCTTTCTCTCTTTTGGAAAGCAGAATCTGCAAAAATCTGCACTAAACATCTTGAGTTCTAATTTATTCCTCCAGTGAAGCCAAAGGGAGCAGTAGGGAATGGGAACACGGGGGTCCGACTGCTTTTCCTCATCCAACCTCACATTCAGCTCCGGTGGATGGATACAAAAACTCCTTATATGGAGAAAAGGCAGAGCTAACCGAGTCTGGAGTGTTCTGCAAGAGGAAGTCTCACGGGAATTGTTAGAAATTCAGTGAATGAAATTGTAACAAACTGTAATGACCCTTCAGTGTGTGTACAGTATGAGTACTGTTGCTATAAGACAAAACGGCTGTTATGAATTACTGTTTCCTGAGTTCAAGGAAATAAATGCAGAGGTGAGTACAAGCTGCAATGTCAAGGATTTAGAATGTTCGTAGTAAGAAAAACAACAACATTCATGTGTCTTATCATGCATTTACTGTTGTTTATCTCTGATGCTGCATGCATTAATTGCTAATGAAATTAACTTGCAGCACAATGCAACACAGAATAATTATGCAGGACATTATCTGTATGTCAAGAAAAATGTTGAGTTTTGTAATCTGCCAGGCAGTAAATAATAGTCATCTTTATAGGTGAATTTCAACATGAAGTCCCAGTCATTCATAGAGAACCTATAGCAGCAGTGAACATCAGTAGATGGAGGAAATTCCTGGAAGTTCACGTAACTACTGGAAATAGGCTTAAAGCCACAAAACACACAGCGCTCACAGACAGCAGACTTCAGAAGCGACTCAACCAGCTCGACAGAAGTTCAGAATAAATCATTCAACAGAGCTCTGTCATACATTCAGACCTGTCTGTTTACTGTAGCACTCTGTGTTACAAGTAAGCACTCCATTCTTTTAAACTAAGCGTGTGACTCTCAAATTAATTTGGATTTCAGTTCGAAACCACTTAATAATGGCCACTCTTTAACCTAAGAAGTTACTTTACTGCACATGGACTTTTCCATTGTCAACGATGATACACTAGAAGACATTTTAGAGATTTAATAGCAATCTCAAAAGTACTATGTGACCCTGGACCACAAAACCAGTCATAAGGGTCAATTTTTCGAAATTGAGATTTATACATCATCTGAAAGCTGAATAAATAAGCTTTCCATTGTTGTATAGTTTGTTAGGATAGGACAATATTTGGCCGGGATACAACTATTTGAAAATCTGGAATCTGAGGGTGCAAAAAATCAAAATACTGAGAAAATCGCCTTTAAAGTTGTCCAAATGAAGTTCTTAGCAATGCATATTACTAATCAAAAATTAAGTTTTTATATATTTACAGTATGAAAAACATCTTCATGGAACATGATCTTTACTTAATATCCTAATGATTTTTGGCATAAAAGAAAAATCTATAATTTTGACCCATACAATGTTTTTTTGGCTATTGCTACAAATATACCCCAGCGACTTAAGACTGCTTTTGTGCTCCAGGGACACATATATATTCTTAAGAGCACTAGTTTACTTGTGTACAGAACTTCTTTCCCCCACCACACGCTTTACTTTTCCATTCCCAACCAGCAGCTGCAACGTCATCAGTCGGAATAACAGACAAAAGCAACATTGTTTTTCTGGCACAGTGACCTCATCTCATGAGCCAGCGAGGCACAGTAATACCTTCCAGATGTGCGGAAGTCCAAACGCTGGGAACCCAAGACCATGCAAATGCAAAGAAAAATGACTTTCAAATTACTTTTAAAGTGAAACACTCTATTAGTGGGCTGGCTCGCTTTATTCTAACGCTCGTTAACAAACGCAATATTTACACAAACATGTGAAACCTATTGCTTATATTCATAACATTTTCAGCATTTGTACTCTACAAGGCATCTAGAATTTTACTTGCTGTGGACATTGATACATATTATTTCATAAAGGGTGTGACATCTGACTTGTGCTGGCTTTTACGGAGTTGTCACGTATATTAATTCATGCTTAAGCGAAGACGTGCAAACTGATTGGCATGTTAATAATATATATATTATTTAGTCCTTCTTAAGTCTCAATTTCAGGAAGAGGGCAGAAATTAAGTTTCTAGATAACATACTTTCCATTTACAATGTTATAAATGCTATGTGAAATTATGATTTCTGTATCAGGATTGACACTGGAAGCAAGTTGTCTGGTATTTAGTTACATTGTGTAACTTAGTAACACTTTACATTAATGTTACCTTTGTTAAAGGTTCATTATTGACTAATAACTCATTTACAAATGCATTATAAAAAAGCATTAGCAAGTTATAACGACTTTCAGGCAACACCTGCCCAATTATGAGCCATTTTAACTCACACGCAAGAAATTCGTACAGAATATTTTAATATGTTTTTTTTAATAAGCAAATGATCTCATACTGGCAGGATGTGAAGAAATGTATGAGACCATTCTATTATAATAGTAATGATCTGAGCTGTAGTACTAGTAGTCTTTCACATGCCTTCTAGTGGCACTCAAGCATACTCCAATAAGACTGTCACAGAGCTTACTAATAGCACTTCATTAGTGCTGGGTTTGCATTGGCACTTGCTGCAAATGACCATCTTGAGCCACAAATAAGGGACAAATCGGTAACTGTCTCTCAAGAGCACAAATGTAAGACAGTTGCCCAAATGCCAGTGTCTAAACTTCCAACTGTCTAATCTGTCAAGCAAAAGGGCCTTTCTTCTATATTGGGTTGGGCTAAAACACTTTCCAAAGAATCCTGTGTATTCAACCTGCTTTGCTTGATAAATTAGTTGATCATATTCAGCAAATCAGAATATTAGAATGATTTCTGAAGGATCATGTGACACTGAAGACTGGAGTAATGATGCTGAAAATACAGCTTTGAAATATATATATAAATATATTCAAATAGAAAGCAGTTATTTTAAATAGTAAAAATATTTCATAATATTACTGCCTTTGCTGTATTTTGGATCAAATAAATGCAGGCTTGGTGAGCAGAAGAGAATTCTTTAAACAAACATTTAAAATCTTACTGTTCAAAAACTTTTGACTGGTAGTGTAACTAACGCAATTAGTTACTTTTTTATGGAGTAATGCAATATTGTAATGCATTACATTGAAAAGTAACTCAACTCCGTTTCCCAACACTGATCATGGCTGACAATAGTTATAATAACTTGCCCATGTAAAACGTAGCATTTGTGATCTCAGAGTTAAAGGGTTAGTTCACCCAAAAATGAAATTAGGTGGCGTTTTACTCACCCCCCGAGGCATCCTAGGTGTACATGACTTTCTTCTTTCAGACGAATCCAGTCGGAGTTATATTAAAAATGGTCTTTGATCTTTCAAGCTGTTTAATGCCACTCAGCGGGTGTTGCATGCATCCGTCCAAAAGAACTTAAATAAAAACCGCCCATCCATAAAAAAAGTGTCTCACACAGCTCCGGGAGATGAACAAAGGCCTTCTGTAGCGAATCGATGCGTTTTTGTAAGAAAAATATCCATATTCAAAACGTAATAATCACTTGACTCTAGCTTGCGCTCACTGTTGTAAACAGAAGCAGCTCTGGGCTGATGATGTATGAGGTTAGCGTTGCGCATGCGCCGCTCAGAAGAGACGCACACGGAAGCGCAGGGGAGAGATCAAAACAAAACAACGGTCAAGAATTAGAAGTACAAAACGAGGATTTGTAAAGAAGAATGTCGGAGGATTTCGATATAAGCCAAGAGGAGACTGGTTTTCCTTTGCTAGAGTAAGGAAACTTTGCTTCCTTTGCTCCTGTAAACAAACGTTGGTTTTCACGAGACTCACCGGCGCATGCGCAGCGCTGAACTCATACGTCATCAGCCCAAAATGCATCAATTCGCTACAGAAGGCCTTTCTGATTGGCCAGCTGACCCAGTGCATTGTGATTGGCCGAACACCACAAGCACGCGTCGGAAATGTAACGCCCCTCACCATAATCGCGAGCTTCAAGCTTTCAAAGTAAATATCAAGACAATTAATAATGTCGTTAGTTTTACCATCAGTTCAAGCCCGAAAGAGCAACAGAGTCGCGTGACAGACACAGTGATGATGCAGTACACAAGCCGCGGTTAAGACAGCTGACGTGCTATGATTTCTGACAGACTGTTCACTCTCCTGTGATGTGACCATGTTCCCCTCACACTCACACACACGACGCGTTACTCTGTGCTGCGCAAAACTCTGCACTTGAACAGTCAATAGCAAATACTTGAACTAATAACAAAACATACTTACAGTCGCTGATTCAGAAGCGCCAGATTGTCATAGCAAAGTCGGAATTGACCCTTTTTTTTTAGAAATAGCCTTTGTGCACAGCCAGCCTTGTACTCTTCTAGGATCAAAAAACTGTCGTCCATAAAATGCGTTGCACAAATTCGAACATCTGGGTTGTGCTGTTCTGTTGTAAATAAATCTTAACCAATGATTCCTAATTGCATCTACTTCCGGAAGGCCAAATGCAGTGCTTTTGCTTTCACACTGAAACACAGCGTCTCCCTGACATGGCTGCATCAACACTGCTGCTGTTCCTGAAACCACGCCTTCTTTTTTTGTGTGCACATTTGGGCGCATTATGCTAATATTTCCACATCGTGACGTAGATATGTGGGGGCGTGTTAGAACGAGCCGTTTTAGGTAGGCGTGTCTGACTCTTAACTTTTATAAAGAATATCTCTTTGGATTTGAGACTTTACAGATCTTCTTTATGCACCAAGAGCTTGTAACACTCCAAAGAGAAAGGAAAACTTGAAATCGCATCATATGACCCCTTTAAGTTCTTTTGGATTGAAGCAATGCAACATCCGCTGAGTGGCATTAAACAGCTTGAAAGATCAAAGACAATTTTTAATATAACTCCGACTGGATTCGTCTGAAAGAAGAAAGTCATATACACCTAGGATGCCTTGGTGGTGAGTAAAACGCAGCCTAACTTTCATTTTTGGGTGAACTAACCCTTTAACACAAACATATGAAAATGTGTTCTAGAACTATGTGCTCATAAAAGCACTTGCAAATAATTTTTATGCATCAGATTTAAAGATGTGAATAAGACTTAAATACCAGTCTGTTTCTCATAATTATAAGTGAACTAGCTAGCAATCATATAACTAGCTGACTCTACAAGACATGGAATACAGTGAATGCTTCACATTGACTGTCGTCGTTTTGGAGATCTACTTCCTGTTCACTTTAGTACAGAAAAGAACAATTTGGACATTCTACATACGAGTCTGGTTAGGTGAGTATATCCTTTCATTTACTGTAATTTTCAGCATGCAAACTTAATTGTTGAACTTAAATCATTAATTTATATTGATACTTAGCTATAATATTAAATCTACATTAGTTTAAAATACTTGTAAAATGTATGTAATTTATTTGCATTATATTGGTCTATGCCTTGTGTTTACAAATCCATGCAAGCTGTATATGTCAAGACTGCTGTAGCCACTGATTTAGGGGTGATTATGATTACCATTCATTAACTGTGATTGCAAACACAATCATCATCTGCAGTAATCAGACATGATTCATGACTTGTTTAGTTGGTGGTTTAGTATGTAAATGCTTTTGAGCTGAACATAAATCAAACCACCACCTTTCCACGTGTACTCCAGAGAAGTTTAAAAACAGTAAAACACCAAGTTAAAACATTTCTGAACACCAACTTTGTGAGGCTCAAAAACATACTTTTCAAAGCTTTTAAGGTATGATTTTTATGAATTTTTGTGCAAAGCTGTTTAGTTTAAGTTAACGATCATGAGGGGATGTTTTCTAGGAAGATGGTCTGCAAAACAGTTTAGTTTTGTTGGAATAGCATTAATGGGACAGAGCAGTTTATCCAAAACTTTAGCAAGAAAGACTTTCTCAAAGAAACTCTGCTGCGTCTCCTATAATGACAACGGTGGCCTGCTGATTTCTGTGTTTATGGCTGCAGTTGTTCTGGAGATTGTCACAGCTCTTGGTCTGGCTTCTTTCTGAACCAACAGTTTAAATAGTGTACCGCCAGTTGGGATTATAATACTTAACTTTCAGTGAATTAACATGTATAACTGTATCATTTCATTGTATAGCAGATATTTGACCAGTCCTTGGTTTTTTGGAGGTCTTGATTTATATTTAGACTTCTGGTGCCATGAACCAGTCAGCATTGTCAGGCTGTAATTTTCCTGCATCTCCCAAGGAGGTCTGTAATACCTGGGGAAAGCTATCCATTAACATTTCAATTCATCTCAATGGAAGTCTGCATTGTGTGCAGTAGAATATATAGAATAAGTATTTTCAATGGCAGTCAATAGAGACAGGCTTGTTGCCTGCAGAATGTGTAGTTACACCATTATCATGCCATTTACAGCTTAGGTGATCAGTTACCAAAATGTATTTACAAAATGAGCATGTTTTTAACCTTGAGGAAAGACAGAAGTATCAAGGTTGCAAATGCATTCGCCATTTAAGAATGTGCAATTGAAATTAATGAAATTGATAGCAGTTAGCTCTCTTCAGGCATCATAAATCTTGTTTATGCTACCTTGTCTATTATTTCAAACAGTGCATCGTTTCATTATTTAAAACCTAATACTCATAGAAAAAACTTGTGACCCACTGCAAAAAAAAAAAAAAACTCTTTAAAAAATAAATTACATTTCAGCGTTCTGCTTCTTTGCTAATGTAATGATATTCATGGGACCACTTTATCAGGTAATTAGATTTAGGTTTTAACTCCAGTTTGGAAACACAACAGCTATATGTCACATATATCAATATTAATAAGACTGATATGGTGTTTAGCTCTGAGGATTTAGCCGTGGTGCTTATCCTACATGACCGCCTGTTGCTGTGCTGCGACTGCTGCTAATTTTGCATGTGTGTGGAATGCGACAGCTGCGGTCACATAAGTGCTCCATACAAACTCAAAGGCATTCTTTGGTGCGATGGCTCCAGGCCTTCTTTATTATCAAGATAGCACTCTCAAACCAGACTGACACTGTCACGCAGGCACAATGAGCTAAAGTGCTAATTTTAGCATGGTTTGTAAGGCAAATCGATATAAACTCAGTCCACTGAAACTGATGATGGTTGTAAACTCACACCCTTAACCTGGTTTTAGCTCTACTGTTACATAGCAGCAGTGACGCTTTCGAGGTTGTCATTGGGCGAAAAAAGTCCATTGTCTTTTGTCAACAGTGTATGCATGAAGTGTGATGTATGAAGTTTTACACCAATCTTTCTACTGAAGTGACTTGATTTTTCTTGCGAAAATTCGCCAAACAGTGGTAAATGTGACCACACCTTATCTTCCAACAGATTCATTAAGCAACTCTCAAAAGCTCATGTTATGCTTCCTAACAGACCGCTAAAAGTTAGTGCACCCTGACTTCTGCTGAACACAAAATAACATATTTTAAAGAATGCTGGCAACCAAACAGTTGATGGTAGCCATTGACTTTCATATTATGGTAAAAAAAAAAAAATACAATAGAAGTCATTGGCTGCCATCAACTGTTTGGTTACCAACATTATTACATTTTTGGCTTAAGTCCATCTGTCATACTAAAAAGAAACTGTGAAACTTGTGAATGTTTGTTGCAACTATGGTTTTGGGAATCCAATCACTGATCTATGTTGCTAACGACGGAACTTGCAACCATGGTTGGCTAACGATGATTTTGGGAAGCGAACCCCAGATCCCATCTTGTAAATTCAGCCAATTCTTGCTTTTGTGTGCATCAGGTGTAGACTTACATATACCAAGTTGTCCTTGTTATTTCACAAGTCTGACATTAATTGCATGTCCAGTTGCTGGACTAATTCCCTATTGGATAAGCGGTCAACACCCCAAAATATATGATGATAGTCAACATTATCTTCATTCATTATTCCTACTGTACGTTCAATTGCTTATGATTTTATTGCCATTGGTACAGTGACATATTACATGCATGTCTGCAGCACACACACACACACACAGTTGGAGGAATCCATGACTGCAGACATTAGCAGAAGCTGCTGCAGCATCATCATCCTCCTGCCGCCCTGGCTGCCGTTGCTATGGCAACCGGTCCGTGATGTCCAACCCTACAGAGGGAGGGCGAGGAAAAATGGAAGTACTCACTCATATGCCGGGGCTTTCCTCCGGAGAGGTGTGCCCATCATGGCTGCGTCTTCTGCCTCTTCCTCGTTTTCTAGCTTTCCTCGTCTCCTTTCCGCTGCTGTTACCAGCATCACCTTGGGAATGACAGCTCTCCTCCACCTTTTCCTGAGATTTCAGATGGATGCTGGATGCTTGCAGCTTCCGCTCTGTCTAGCCTGCAGGATGAGAGAGAGAGAGCGAGAGACAGAGACAGGAGGGAGGGACACATTGGTTTAACGTCTGATTTTATTGGTAGAGATTTTGCTTCTCTTTGAACTTTCATTTGAGAATATTATGCTACAGAAATTGTAATTAGCAATATATCATCAAATGTACACTCTCAAGCTATATTACATATATCAAACTGAAAGTAACCTTTGGTTTATGCATTACGGAGTCATATTAATTGATTCTATATTTGATCCTTAAAAACATGTAGAAATTATTATATGAATTATTTATTGTTAAAGTTTAACTAACAAATGCTCAGTACTGCAGCTTTACAGTAAACATCAGTTTAATGGGAATTTGTGATTATTGTATGACTTTGAATGAAATTGTATAATCTGACTTGTGCAAAAACGAATGATTTGTAGGTAAAATGTCACCATGAAGGTTCACCTAACCCTCAAGGAGGTGTGAGTAGATTCATACGAATTCACGAACAGTTCACGGTAAATTGTCAATCTTTAATAAAAAATACAAGGCATTTTAACACAAAAAAAACAGACAATTTTTTTTGCTCATATTGCTTTGAGTTCATTCATTCATTCATTTTTACATAATATCATTGTTATCGTGAATGTATAAGATTATCTGTAAGGACAGCCCATGAAAATTTAGCTTAAAGGGGTCATATGATGCGATTTAAATTTTTCCTTTCTCTTTGGAGTGTTACAAGCTCTTGGTGCATAAAGAAGATCTGTAAAGTTGCAAAGACTAAAGTCTCAAATCCAAAGAGATATTCTTTACCAAAGTTAAGAGTCAACCACACCCCCCTAAAACGGCTCGTTCTAACACGCCCCCACATGTCTACATCACTATGTGGGAAGATTTGCATAACGCCGCCCAAATGTTCATGCAAAGAAAGAAGGCGTAACTTTTATTCTCGCTGTAGTGTTGTTGCCGCCGCCGCCATGTCGTAAAGACGCTGTGTGTTTCGTTGTGAAAGCGAAACTACTTTGTTTGGTCTTCCAAAAGAGGACACAATTAGAAATCAGTGGTTAAGTTGTATTTACAACACTGTTCCAGAACAGTTTATCCCAAATATTCAGATGTGTGCAGCACATTTTATCGAGGACTGTTTTCTGTGAGAGTAGACTACAATACGGTGTCTGTTTCTATAAAGTGGGGTAATTCCAACTTAGCAAGGACAGTCTAGCGCTTCTGACTCACAGTCTGTAAGTACGTTTTCATATTTAAAGGATTTGCCACTGATGATTCAAACGTGAGTTTTGGGCAGTGTAGAGTAGCGTTTGTTGTTTGTCATTTCTCCGATCACAAATGCAGACATGGATTTATATTTATGCGGTGCGATATGCAACGCAACGGGTAAAAAGACAGTATAAGTCATTATAATCAGTAATTATGTCCCCACTGGATGCAACAAATGCCTCGTTTATAATGGGTTTTCATGTTTTTGTCTCGTTGCTCCGGCCGGACAGGGCATCACAGTATGGTGAGGGGCGTAACATTTCTGTCACACGCTTGAGGTATTCGGCCAATCACAGCACACCTCGCTTTTCAGACCGATGAGCTTTGTAAAAATCGACACGTTTCAGAAAGGTGGGGCATAGAGGAGAAACAATAATGTACAGTATGTGGAAAATAATGTGTTTTTGTAACCTTAAACCGCATAAACACACTTCATTACACCAAATACAGAAAATAATGTTCTTTTTAGCAACATCTTATGACCCCTTTAAATTGTATCAGCTCTGGGACACTTTTAGTACATGTGTCAGAAAACATGTTTAGTACATGTTTTTTTTTTTTTTTTTTTTAAATAACATAAATGTAAAATATAATAAAATTAAATTAAACTTCTTTTCAGTTGCCTAAGCAATATTTTTCATTTTCATTTAGCTTAACTTGATGTACTAAAATAACTAAAACTAACACTGAAATAAAAAAAGTTAAACATATTAAAAATCAGTAAATAATGAATAAGACAATAACACAACAAAATTACAAAAAAAATACAATAAAAATAAAATCCAGAAATAACAAAAATGAATTCAAAATATAATAATAATAGTAGTAGTAGTATCTCAATGATCCCTGCATGTGTCATCATTAATTTGAGGCCCAGAAGTGTTTGACCAGATGTCTGGTTGGAGAACTGCTGGCATTATGGAATAGCTGTAGTTTTAGGTATAGGAACTGTAAACACACTTACTTAAAGCAAATACCAGGACCAAAGAACTTTATCATGTCAATTCAGTGTCATTTTAATTGGAGTAAAGCTATGACTTTAAAGTATTCTCCCCAGACAGTGTTATTGAGCCGGACAAGAGCAAGGTCACATTCTGCTCAAGTGTTCAGACCTTCTGCGTGCCTGAGTGTCACACACTTGGATGTTTGTGATTGTGTCAAGTTAGGACCTTGAGTTATCAAGCACTCTGGAATGCTTAGGCTTTAGATGTTTTTGTGCCTTATTTGGCTTTAGCAACATTTAACTATACTATCTCTCCTTTAAGTGCACTTTGTGAACAAAACTATATTTAAGTATATTACTATATTAAATGTAAGGGAAACAGGTCAATTTAGCTCAAAGGGAATCATTCCATTAACCGAATATTATACATACACAATAAATGATTAAGACCTGATAAGTCACATGTGGGTTACATACATAATATGGAGTTATGCATAGAAATGATTACCAGTTGCTCACCAGTCCTTTTATTGTCATTTAGATGCATATTTACATGGACATGCAGTTTCTGTGCCATTCTCTGAACATAAGGACATGTTCTGTGAAAATATGCAAATGCACAAGTAAAAATGTATACTGTATTGGTAAATTGCCAGTGTATTGCCTATAAACCATAAATGATTTAGCTAAATATGAATACAATTATTCTTATTATTGTTATTTTGATGGGGTAAAGTGTGACACATGCTTTGTGCATATGGAAAGTTGTGTCAATGGCTCAGCTAATATTACTAGTAAGTTTTAAATGCAGAAAATACTAATATAAAATGCTTTAAATGGTTTTAGAACATTTACATTTTGTCAATATTAATTTTCCTGGCTGGTTTATAAAAATGTAAATTTAGAACACAAAATTATTTAGAATGGATTTTACAGCTGAACGCTGTGGGTTTGCGTTACAATCAGGAATGGTAAGAGAACATTTTTTCACCTGAATTTAGTGATCTGATCGGCAAAAATGCATCTTATAACCAGGTGTAAAGATGGCCTAAAAATATTAAAAACATATTATAGGTTTATCAGTGTGTATTAAAGTTGGAAGATTTTTCTTTGCACTCTCTTATTATTAACATTTTGTTATTTTATTATTATTTATTTAAATAAAAATGTTACATAGACTAATGCAGTTTCAATCATTCTTGAATCCTCCACTTATTATATAACATTTGGACAAAGTTGTGTCAATATACAACATTTTTTAGGAGTCATATTTCTCTGACCTTATACTGTAGATGCTTAGTTCTAATTTCAACTGACGGCAGACATCTTGAGGGGGTATTAGAGTATTAGTTTTACCTTATTCCCATTTATCATATTTCTATTTCTACTTCAAGGAAAAACAGGGATAGTTCACCCAAAAATGAAAATCATCATATCATCAATATACTCAACATATTCACCCTCATATTTTTCCAAACCTGTATGACTTTCTTTCTTATGATGCTTAGAAAATTGTCTCAGTGTTTTTTCCCCCACCCATTCAATGAAAGTCAATAGGGTACAAAGTTGTTTTGGACTTCACTGTATAGACTAAAACAGTAGAAACATCAAAATACTCAAAAACATAAAAAAAAACATCAACATATATAAATTTTTTCAAAGTTTGAAACATCATGAGGGTGAGTAAATGATGACAGGATCTTCATTCTTGTGTGAATTATTGAAACTTCATTTCATGAACAATGTTTTTCTGCTAGCATCTTGAGAACATTATTAATGAATGAGTGTTCCATTAATGTTACTGTAAGAATGTTTGGTCATAACTTTGAGAGAACCTTGCCAGAACATTTGCTAAAGTTTTGAGAACGTTAAATGTTAGCTGGGAAGTGAAGGATAAGAAAGAATGAGTCATTATACAGTAAAAAATAAGCCATGAACAAAGCTGGTTCTAATGCTAACATACTCACTTCTTTCAGGGCTCCAGTGAGTGCTGTAGTGTTACATGACCCTCTGCATTCCTAGGATGGCTGACAGTTGAAAGTGTCCATCTCATTTGTTTGCCCAGCAAGGAGGTGCAGCCGTGGTCCCGAGGCTCGTCTCAGTTTACCAGGATATCGGGAGCGTGTGCTGTACTTTCAGTGTTAATTTGGTGGGTTTGCCAGACCTTGAGACTTTTCAGCTGGACACGTTTCTTATGTTCACAACACTTCACAGAACAAAAACACTCACACAAAACTGCCAGAGTCCTAAAAAGCATTTAAAAAAAACTGTAAATGGGGGCGTAAGGGACAAGGCCATTTATATAAGCGACAGAGCCACAGATCTCACAAGCTGATACAATGCTAGCTTTGTAGCCGGCTCTTTTTGGAATTTTTCTGCAGTAGCCGCAGTGAAAGGGCCTTCAGAGGTCACCATTTGCACTGTCATCTCTTCAGTGATCTATTTAAGGACGTTCAGGAGTTGGTGACTACTAGCATCAGCACTAGGGGACAAAAAGCTAGTTCATATTGTGTTTAACTGACTTGAAATCAAATAAAGTGACTTTCTGGTCATAACGTTGTATACACTACCGATAAATGGTTTGGAGTTGGTAAGATACTTTTTTCTTCTCAAAGAAATGTATACTTTTGTTCAGCAAAGATGCATTAAAATTGATCAAAAGCGACAGTATAGGCATTTATTATGTTACAAAAGATTTCAATTTCAAATATATTGTGTTCTTTTGAACTGGCCATTCTTTAAAGAATGTTGAGAAAAAGGGTTTC